GCAAGAAACTCAGCTATGAGGCAGAAAGAATGCCGTTGAAGGCAATTTAATTTTTGTTTTCTAGATCTATTGATAATCTATCTTAAGCTCTTTGAGACGGCTTAAACAATAACACAAAAAACACCCAAACAAGAAAACAGTTTACGAAAACTGCTAAATATGCACTTAGGATATAAAACAGTTTGCGTCCCATAACCAGATCAGAAAGGACCTGAAACTTAAACATCCTAAACAACTTTATAAATCATGGCAAGTTGTTTTTTCTTGTCTCCTTTTCCGCTCTGTTTTGTCCAAAAATTCTATTGTGATCTTAAAATCCGTCACAATCAAAGCTCTGTTGAACCCAGTATGTTTCCAAAGGGTTGTTTTTTGAAAAATGCTGATTTTCACCCACAAAATAATAATTTTACTAGAAAGTTCACCAATTCTGAAGTCCCCAGATACAAAGAGCACAACAAAGAAAGTGCCAGGGGAACTGAAAGAAATGAAATGTTCTGAAGTTTGCACAGCCTGCCAAGGAATCTCTCTAATACTTAATTAAACGTGTTGGACACTCTCACAGTGATGCCAAAGGAAATGGTCTGACTAGGATACAGAAATAGTTTAGAAAAGACTAGAAAAAAAGAAGGGACATTTTATTCCTCCTCTGCTTTGTCAGGTAAGGTTCTGCCAGTGTGCGGTCAGAGGAAAGAAAAAGTATGTTTACTAATTCTTTGTAAGAAACATATGAAGATACTAAAAAAAATTTACCTTCTCTCGAATACTTTGAATTGCAAGTCAGAACTGATAAGCCTTCCCAGATGAAGGTGGGGAGCAGGGAAAGGGGCATGGTGGCAGTGGCACAGGGAGATTCTTCCACGACAACCAGAATGGAGCAGAGTTTCAAAAGCTTTTTACTTTAACTACACATTAAGATCAAAATGTGCATATGCACGTTTTATTAAAATTGAGGTAATTCACACAACTCGCAGAGGGACGAATATAGAAAGCCTTCATCCGAGTCTGAGCCACTCTTAAGTCAATCTTTTTCTTTTGAACAGTTGCCTGTGTAACAGCTAAAGCTTGGACAGACTACAAGTCTTTTCTCATTGGGGAGCTTTAGCATCTTTTGCCATGTGAATTTTCTTGCGTTTAACAAGCTTTTCCATCACCTGTGGCAACAACATGGTTTCTGCTGCTAGCGAGCTATTTTCATATTATGACAAAACTAAATTAATTTAAATGTGTGAAAAGGACATTAAACATTTCAGTCCAGATGAACCTGATACCCCTTTCTCTCACATGACAACCCAACCCCTCCTTACCATAAGGCACAGCAACCATTTCAGCTTCCTCTTACCTCTGTAATTTGCATACAGCTTCCATAGATATACCAGAAGTGGTTTACAATTTATAAGTATCTGTTACCTGAAGATTTCTGTTAATGAGGGATTCATCCAGGGTCATTGCCAGCTCCACTGCCCGTTTTTGACTGGAAGGATCTATATAGTACATCATTTTGGCAGCTACAGGAGGAAAAATAAGCTTCATCACCCAGTGGATGACCAAAAATGTCTTATATACAAACATAAAATAGAGATAATATTACTAAGAGGAGATACTGAACTCTACAGTAGTAGCTGAAAATGGAACCACTTGGAGCATTAAAGCTTGACACCTGAGCAAGTAAGAAGGGGAGCTTTAAGCCTATTAATTTGATGCTAGACAAAGCATTCAAACAAATAGGCACTGTCTACACTGCAGGGGAGGAGCACTTTGCTGTGCAGAGGAGTCCTGAGCAGTGAAGATAACAAATCGGACCTGCTGCAACACAACACAGCTCCCTCCAGCACCACTGCTCCCATCTCCTTCACACAGAAATCAGGGCACAGAAGAGATGTGCACAGGGAGCTCTTGTTATAATGTGGTGTCAGGACACAACCAGGACACAGTTCCGAGTCCCGTGGCACAGATGTAGTTGAAGGGAGTTGATGCCAGAAGACACGCAAGAGTAAGCTCACTGCTTTTTGTGGCCAGGTCCGAGCGCAGACTGAGCCACAACAGTAATGCTGCACCCCGGGGTGGTTTACATCCTGTTTCCCACGTGGTACCCACTGTAATATGCAGTCGCTACTGACAGCCTTTCGTAACGGGTAACCAGCACCATCTAGGCTCCTCTTGTCAGGCATACCAATAGCTCTGGGTGTTACCTGGCTGGCTGAGCACTCAGCACGCCTCTCTTGGCAGTCAGCCTCTTCAAATATATGTATCAAAAAAACTTTGCAATGCATCAACACTATTTCACATACCATAGCTCATACAAACTATTTCACAGATGCTTTAAATGCAGTTACAGTCTTGTGATACATTCAGCATGCATCAGAACTGAGAACAGGGCAGAGAAGTCCAAAAATCTGTCTTTTAGCAGCATATTTTAAAAATTAAAGAAAACCACAGACAACCTGCTGGTCATGTTGTCACAAAAAGACAAACCGAGAGCAGAAAAGCATTCCCGATGGAAAAAGTGATTTTTACATCACTGGTGCTGATTCCGAGATGCCAGTGCTAGACAAGTGCAGAAAAAGGACTAAAGCAAAATACCTGATAACCTATGTGGTAGTGAGTCATAGTTCTTTTTAAGGAAAGCTTCATTGAAGTTCTTTGGATTAGTTGCTCCAAAAAGCCGATTCATTTCTTGGTTTAACACTGTTCTAACTGCATCAGGCAGATCCTTACTTTCAGATACTATTGAATTGGAAAAAAGAAGTTAAGAGGTTACCACAGGCAATCACAGTAAAATCTAATTTATTTTAATATTTGTCATGTTTACATTATTAATATGAAAAAAAAAAATCTCAAAAGGAACATGCACAATATTTGAAAAGGTAAATAACGGGATGTGGCTGGACAAAGCTTAACTGTGACAGTTTTCTGATGCTTAGAAAAAGCCGAAGCCTTTGTACTCCCAACACACTTCTCCCCTTCACTGATTAAAATCTATTCACCTCAAAGATTGAGGTTACCTAAGTCTGTTCTTAAACGCATTTAGTTTGTAGCCATCAAGAGGAAGGGTGACCTTTGGGGCGAGAGAAGAGAGAGAATCCTTCCAACGTTCTAACAAAAGAACAGAATTCTAAGCCTTCTCCTTGCATGCCAACAGCGGCTGCCAGCAAAAAAGCCAGATTCCTCACTCTGCAGTTTCCAGTTCTTCACACACTTGCTCTTTCAGGGGCTCACCGTACTACTTACAGTCTTAAGACGATTTACTAATACCTGGTTGGAATAACTACTAAATCCAGCTGCAGTCATAATAAACATACTTAATTTTAGCATGAATCAGCTGTTTAAAAAAGCTTTCTAATACATGTATTAAATATTTTGAATTAATTGTGCCAACAGTCTATAAACTAAAAATCAGTGACTGTATGTGGGTTAGGCATCATCTGGAAGCATGTACAGATGAAGTCATATCAAACTGATACATACCACTGCTGAAGAGATGAATCATACACTCATGAAGCCAAGGATGACTAGAATCAATAGCAAAGGCTCTCTTCACAGACTGAAGCATCAGAAGGAACTTCTCTGGAAAAGAAAGTGTTGGCACATGTTCAAAAACCTGTAGTTGGAACTCACTGCATTACGCAGCCGGAGTATTTAGTGTCTGAAATTAGAATGATCAGAAGAAATTAAAGCTGAGTGTACCACAACAGCCATTTTTTCTAACGTGTTTATTTAACCAGTGAATCAGGCCTGTTAAACCAGCAAGTAAATTTGAACATAGTAAGTTCTTAAAAAGCATAATATTTAACTGATACAAGAATTCAAAAGTCAGGTGTTTCAACAGACCGGTTCTCATTACCAATTGTACACCACTTCAGAGTGCGTAATTCTGGAAACTAGATACAAAGAAATAGGTAGAGCAACTGCATGCTGGGAGGATTAACTACAGTCTCATTACTTACAGATTTAAACACAGCAAAGTGGAAAAATCAGCCAATGTTCAAACTTTGGTTTTTCACAGACTGCTCATGGCTGGGGTGTCGGTCCAATGAAAAGTTGTGTGTCTCAACAGGGACTGACTCCTCATACCTCAGCAATAATATTTGGTTAAATTCTGATATACATTTTTATGAACCATAACTTGCTTTCACTCGCTTTCTCACCTACCTTTTCGAAAATAAATCTCGAAGGCAAAAAGATGCGTCTCTATTTTGTTCTTCACTAAATTCTTCAGAGGAGTTAAAAATTTAATGGCTTCTTCCAAAGGTGCTTCAACCTACAGATTCAAGGAAGTGACACATAACTAAGTCACAAGCCTTAAACCTAATAACTCTACAGCAACAGAATTAGCTATTTCTGAGTTGCATCAGAGAGTTACTCCCATAAGGCAACGCATAAGGTGCTCCTCTTCGGTTACAAATTTCGCATCTTTCACTCAGTATTAGTGTCTAAACACAGACTGTCAAGTCTCAAAAATTGGTCTGTGATAGTTACAAATCACATTTTCCTACAGAAATACAAGTCTTTGCCTTCTACCATACATCAGTAAACACAGCTGCAGCTGAACCTGCACTGTAATGGGCAGTACAGCTCCCCATGCTGACCTACACACATGGGCCTGAGATGTTGGTACACAACTGCTTCAGACTCATGACAGAGTCTGTTCACATGAGCTTCAGACAGGTTCCTGAAAGTTGTCAGGTCATGGTGACATTCCCAGACAAGACACTAACAGCAAGCATGAAGTAACTAGATATTGATCATGATTTCCTGGTCTTAGCCAGCATAATCCAGTAAATGGTCAGCTTTAATTCAAATTAATTCCCTGCAAGGATTCTTTACAGACAGATCTCTGGCATCTAGAGTTTAGGGATAATTTGAACAAGAACTGTCTGCTGTCCTTTGCATTTATATTTTTATGAACATAAGCTACTCTCTAAAAATCAGACACAAAATTTAATTGTTGTCTTCAGTAACAGTTTAGTAATGTTGAGGCAATACACTTTGTCTTCAACTCAGTTATTTTCAATAATGATGGGCACCTTATGGAGTTCCTGCTAACCATATACCACAGCAGTTTTCATTAAAAAAACTGCATCATTTGTATGTGCTGTTATGAGTTCACATACATCAGCCAACTGTGCACTCAAACTATCTGGAATCTATAATAAAGCAGATTTCAAAGCTACGCCTTTAATGTCAAAGCTACATATGCAAAGAAGTCCAAGGGCAACTGTTTCAGGAAAACTGTCTGCAAGTGACCAACTATGTCAGAAAGGGTCTTCTGGCACTAAGAACCAACTGAATTTGGAAGTGGCTATACGATGATTCTGATACTAAACTCGGAATACAGTTAGGGAAGATTTGCCAAAGGAATGCATTATACAGCTGCAACTACTCTCTGTAATCTTGAGGACTGCCTAGGTTTTCCTGGGATATCCCATGATATCTCTCTACTTCAGAACTCGTTTCGATAGATGCCAGTGTGCCCACTTCGATCTTAGCTAACACTGCAATTCAGTGCTGCTGCTTGCCACCAGTGAACTAAATGCGAATGCTGACAATATTCTTAAATGGCTAGTCAAGTTGAAGTCACTTGCTTCCTGGCTACAGAGTCAAGTTCACTGTTTCAGCTTTCAAATATCATCCCCTCAAGATTCAATAATACTCATTAAACATGTAATGTGAAAATACCAAATACCGTATCTATGAGTACTCAGATACTATACTACTGTTACTATAAATTAATTTTTCCAATCTCTCTATATTTTTTCATTATTTTTCCCCACATTTTTAAAGTGTTTTCCTGCTCCTTACTACAACCTTTAGCACAAGAATAGTCTTCTGGGTCACCTCCCCTTTATATATCTCTACAGTTCTTAATCCAGACCTCAAAATCCATCTCAGTGTAGTCTACTACCATTTCCAAACAGCTTCTTTATCCTTCTGCCCCCACCCCTCATTCAAAGCAAATGCAAACAAATGCCATTAAAGCATTCAGTCTTTCAATGTCTCCTCTTTCACAAGTTGTCTATGCTTCATAAATCAAAAAATATTATGGGACATAAAGAGGGAATGATAATCACCTTACATACAGAATAGAAAGACTTCCATCCGATCAACTAGAAATAGGGTATAATCAACAAGTTAGTGCAATACACACATGAAGATAATTCCACCTGTAGCAAACATCTATGACTTCAATCGTCGCCTTTGAGAACTAGGCATGAGAGCTGTGATTTCATCACATTACTGACAGTGTATCCAACAAACTATTCCTAGAAAAGAATTATTTGTAAAATGCCGCCTGTCAAGAGAAGCCATAAAAAAACCCAAACAAGTAATCTGAATGGCTTTCAAATTGTATGTGTGCTCACTGTAACTCTTCTAGAAATTTCTATGACTTTATTATTACATTAGTAAGCACCTTTGCCAATTTCTCAGGGATAAGTTCTTCTTTCGGTCCTCCGATTTCTTCATCATCATCATCCTTCTTCTTTTTCTGATTCCTCTGTTGCTTCTCTTTTTCAGCATTCTTCTTCTCCTCCTCCAGCTGTGCTTTCTTTTGTGCTCTTCTCTGTTTATTTCGTAGCTTCTTTAGCTCCTTGTCAGACATATTCGCTGTACACATGCAAAGGGCAAAAGCAGACAACGTTGATGTCTAATATTAACAGCCTCAATCAGTTGCCAGACACCATCATCTTTAAACCATACCTCCTAACTAGTAATGGTGCCATTACGTTTTTAAAAGCTTACTTACTATTGATAGGTTATTTTACAGTCTACGCTGCTCCTTCATAATGCACAAATTCCTTTGTGAAATCAAGGCAATAGGAATTATAGTACAACATGCTGAAGATGGGACAAAGTAATTACTGCATGACTCCACAAACCCAGCACCAGGAGTAAAAGCACACACCAATATGCACTGATTTATGCCTTAGGCATCACACAACACAAGTTATATTTAACATAGTAATTAAATGGTCTAACAAACAAAAAAAAAAGGTAAAATAGTCACACTCTGGCACACATAGTTCCAGCTTTGCTTTTAATGCCCTACAGACATCTTACATTTGATTCATATTCAGATCCTCTCCTCCCTCCAACTGAAGCACAGAGACTTAATTTAAAACAGATCAGAAAGTGGCTACAAGAAATTCTATTACACTTCTACTTGTCTTAATTTGAACTTGAAGCCACAGAAATGAACTGAGACGAGAAATACTAAAACTTGACAAACTCCTCTTGAAGGATTCAATACCCTCTACTCATATCATTTGAAGTGCCCCAAGCCATAATCACTGAAGTTGCTCTCCAATTAGAGAGATTAAAAAAAAAAAGAAATGGATGGATTTAAAGATTATTTTTAAATCAGAAGCAAGAGATAATAAAATTTAAGTGGCTACCTAGTCAAATTTTTGCATACTGATAAAATGCTTAGAAACAGCTATAGCTACCACCAAGCACACCTGCTTCAATATGTTATTTCATGGTCCAACAACCATGAGAATTCCATGTTTTCTCAGCCATTTCATAACACAAAAATATTTTTACTCAAGAATCACAATTTTCACTATAAAAAACATCATTGTTTTATAATAACCAGAATAAAAACATGTATTAGTTTAACTTTCAGTAGAACATCTACTGTTACATGCAGACCAAGTCACAATTTGCCTACTTTGAGTTGTGACAAAACTCTCTTGTTTTTTGCTACTACAGTTGACAACTATAAGAATGCTGGATCTTCATAAAATATCCCCTAATTAGTGAAACTGCATATTTAATAAATCCTGAGGGTTGAATACCTGTATCAGCCTCGTGTTCTTTATTTTCATCTGTTAAGGGATTATCATGAAGTTTCAAATATATCTCTATGGCAATTCGTGCTGCTTTGAAGTAAAACGGATGTTGTCGAAGTACATCTTCTAGTTTTAACAAGTCCACATAAGACCTAAGGGTTATCTTCCTCATACAGTAAGTGTGAAAGTCAAACTGGTCATCTGTGATTTCTACAAAATGCTAACACAACATAACATAACATTATTTAGCAAGTATTACAAGTTAGATACTAACCTTAACTTTTTTAATACACTCTCCCCAAAGGAACAATTCTACTAAAAGCCTGCTCTGGGCAAATACACGTGAACTTATGTGAGTTAACAAAACCCTCCAAAAATAAAGTCATGGTGAAAAGAAGAGAAGGCATTTTAGGTCAGAACCAAAATTCACCCATTTCACAATCTCTTAACAGTAACCACCCTCTGACAATTTGCTGTTTAAGGGACAAAGGTTCTACACTCATTGTATTTAAATAGCACTTGAAGAATTTTTCTTCTACAAACTCCTCTAATTTTTTCAGTCAGAAGCACGATTTCACCTTCCATTAAATACTGTGGCAATGAACTCCACACTTATATCACATGTGGTGCATGAAAGTACTTCCTTTTGTTCAAGATCTGCTTTCCTCATTGTCACCTGATGTCCCCTTGTTTCCGTTTGAGAAGCAGTGAAAAGTCATTCCCCCCTTCAACTTCTCCATGTACTTATGATCTCATATAACTTCATCCTAAACTCAGTTGCTGCTTGTCAAAGCTGAGGATATAACAGTAACCATGACAAGCTAATTGCAGTCTCTTCCATGTCCAAGTTACACCATGGCATGTATTTTACCAGCAGATTTTTAAGGAGGTGCAACATTCAGGTGTAAACAGTACGAGAGATTTATATACTGTAAGAAAAGTACTACTTCTCCAGTCACTTAATTCCCAACACTGTCCTTTTGATTGCTGCTCCGTACCACCACAGAAGTTTTTGCAGCAGTGTCCATAATGGATCCAGGATTTCTTTTCTGAGCAGCAGAAAAGACCTTATACTACTTATGCATAGGCAAAGCATTATTCTTGTCCCTCCTCCACCAACTGCACTGTTGAACATTTCTTGCACCATTTTATCATTTAGTATTGAGACAGTGCAAGTGTTGTCCTTGCACTGTTCACTCCCCTTCTGTGATCATTTATCGATATATGAAACAACGGAGTCCCTGAAGAGATGCCTTCATAGTCTCCATGATAAACTTCTTTTCTTGTAAAAGCTGATCATTTGCTCCTGTCTTCCCAGCCATGAACCAACTATTAAATCCACAAGATCAACCTCCCTTTTTCTGAGACAGTTTAGATCCTTTACAGTGTGCAGGATGACACCAGAAGTGTTTCTGAAATCCAGAACATGTTTTATCAGCTAGACTGCCTTAAGCATAACTGGCACCTCTAAAAGATTTGAGGCACTGCTTTTTCTTACAAAAGCTTTGCTGATGGTTTCTGAATATAACATATTTGTGTATCTTATTTCTGATCTTTACTACACCTTCCATCAATTAATCCAATAAATAAAACACAAGTGACATTAATTCATTAGAAAAGTTTTTTAGGGTGGCCTAAGTCAGCTCTTCATTTGCTGACCTCCTCTGGTATCCAAGACAATTTACAAGACTAGTAGTTTCTTACAGAAATTCTTTCAAGAGGATTTTATACAAATTTATTTAAAGCATTTGCATGAACAGAATACGGTCCTGGTGATCACTTTGTTGATTTGTTCTCATCTGAGAATATTCCACAGACTAGCTCCCTCGGCAGAACAGCATCAGTGTTGAAATCTCCTTAAACCTCTCTATTGGCAAAGAGGCGTAGCTTCCTAGGAAGTTCTCCTCTCTGAGCACTTCATTACATCCTCAGCTGTCTGGTGTTTTTTCTAGACCCTAATGTGCTTAAAAAACCTCCAAACCTAAACTTACTTTTTTTAGAAGTTGCACACCCAAATTTGTTTGTTTGTCTTACTATGGATCTGCATTTAATGTGCAAGTATCCTCTCCTTTTTGGATACAATTCTACTTTAAGAAGCCTTTCTATTTCTAATAGCTTCTTTTAAACTGTAGCTTAATATTATTATATTTTTTAAGGAGATATTTAATACTTTTTATAGGTTTTTAAAAATTTATTCTCTCCTCTAAAATACATTGACTTAACAATAACCAAGGCAACATCTTTACTTTACAGCTGGGCTTGTCAGCTCAGCCATGTTCTTTTTGGACTTAAAGTACGCATACTCTTGGTTTGTACCCAAACACTTATTTTTCTGTACTCTGCCAAAAATAAGATTATTTCTGAGAGTTTTCTCTTCTTTCCTGGATCTTCAAATCACTTTACAGAATCTCTTTATAATACATAGTTTACAATGGCATTTTTATGAGGAAATGTAACTTAATCAACTTGCCAGTAGCCAACATGAAATGAAGTCTCTCCTGAAGCTACATGAAGTACACTCTTACCACTCCAAAAGGAAACATATTAGCACAGTAAACTTAAGCTAGTGTTTTCCAACCTAGGCAGTTTAACTAGATACATACTCTCTCAATTTCATGGCATTTCTTAAGTGCTTCTCCAAATTTGTTCATTGCTTTGTAAGCTTGCGCACATTCTGTTTGAAACCACATGCACTGCATTTCATTCAAGTTCTCTACTGCCGAGGTTCCTTCCTAAAAGCAAAAACAGCATTATATAAAACAAGTTTCATTCGATGTAACCACCATTTCTTTTATCGTGTTCTAATTAGAAGCACAAATAAACTGGGTATCAAAAGAATGCTAAATTTCAAAACTGGAGTCCTAAAAGTCAGAAATGCCATGGTTAAGATGGACTTGTTTGTTCATTAATCAAAAAAGAAAAATACTCCTCTATGTTCCACTCATTGGAAGAGTCAGAAATACACAATGAATAGGCAGGTAGTGACCATTTAACTGTGACAGTTCCTCATCTTTAGGACAGGAGACACGTTTATTCAGGGGTTTTAATATTATGTGCACAAATAACACATTGCAGCATGAAGAAAAATGGCAGAAAAGTTCTAGCATGTGGCATGACACTGACACCTGCAGGATTTATTTATTTATTTAAAACTGCCATCTGTCTTCCAGAAACCTGCTAATTGAGCTAAGCATAGTAACTGCCAGTATTAATAGATTATTTCTTATGTGATTATTACTAGACAGCAGTGGCAAAGCAAAAGGAATACTGGTAAGCTTTGCCACCTTCCGATTCAAAAAAGGAGATTACAGTTGTCTTTCAAATCTGGTATTTATATATACTTCCATAGATCTGCAGAACTTACAATATGCCTTTCAAGCTTAATGTCAAAGTCAGCTACCTGGGGTGAAGGCAGCCATTCTGACTTTACTCTGATCTTACAAAACCCAGGCTATTCAAGAATCAGCCAAGAGCCAAAGCTGGGAAAATGACAGATAATAATCCATCGAAAGGGTAAGGAGAATGCCTCAAATGAGAGAGAAAGGCAGTCTTCAAATCAGTCTGATTTAGGCAGCTAAAAATCAGAAAAAATGTTAGTTCCATTGTCATTATGCTTAATTCAGGTCATCTTTAATTATTGTGTTTTTTTTTTTTTTTTTTTTTTTAAGAAGCTTGTATTTGAGCACTAGACATAAGATCAAAAGGAGATGAAAGAGCACGCAAAGCAACATCAGATTATATTTTTAAAGTTAAGTTTTGGGCAACTGGTATGCTTGCTTTTTTGATACCATCTTAAAGCTGCTTAAGGTGTTGACAGAGGTCAGTTAACCCAGATTCATAGCAGTTTTGCATCAAAAACTCCACATAAAGCTACTGAGCTTATATAAAACAGAACTTCCGCTCCCTCTGCGTTTGCCTGCACACGGCCTCCCCTTCACAAAAACCCTTCAGCTTCCCCCTTACAAATACACCTCCCACCCCACCCCGTTCAACCTACCTTACTCCTGGTTTCTCCTGCTCTTCGAGATAGAAGACAAAAATGGGACAACAAACAAAAAAGGCTTTACTTCTGCAGGTAGGTCCCAATAGCTTGTTGCCTGCCTCCCACTGACAACACATAAGTGATATTGCCAGCATTCTCAAACTATCATTTGCGAAATATTCTGGAAAGACTATATTGAACTGTTTTGACTTTCAGTTATGAAAGAATAACAGCAAGAGAAGTCAACTAAAAAAAAAAAAAAAGTAACTAACCTGTGAGACCATCAAAGCTACCAGAATGGGTTACTGCAGGGACAAAAACTGATATGTGAAATGAAGGAATCTGCATAATGGAAACTTTCTCTGACAGCTAATTGGTCATGCGCAAGCAGACAAAAAAAATACAATATGCAGCTTCCCTTTATCACTGTTAAATATGGCCTTAGGGATGAAAGTTTGCTTGCAAAACGAAGACATCTCAGAATGCCTCTCACCTAGCAGCAACACAGAAATTTTGTTCCAAGTCTGAATTCTCTACTTACTACCTTAGGAGAAAAAAAAAAAAAAAAAAAGAGACACGGGCAACCTAATCAGATCTTCAAGGATCCGATAGAAACACCATTAAATGCAAAGACTACATTGGAAAAATAATTTTCTGAGAAGTTACCTCTAAATCAGGCATGCCGTATTCTTCCTACTTGGCAAAAATTATCAAATCCAAGCTTTAGAGTTTTCACATAATACTATGGAATTATGCTTATCCAAGACTAATTCAAACCCTGATACTACCATCAGTGAAGCAAGCGATCACAGATGCTCTGAAACAGAACTTCAAGATTATAAGAAAGGTAAGTGTAATGTTAACACAAAGTTATTCCACAAGGGAATAGGCCCATGTTATTCAAAAGAGCTATAGTTAAATGAAACGAACCCTCGTAAACTTAGAACACATTTCTTCTGCTTCTTTAATGGAGTTTGCTTTCAACATATATTTTGCACATTTGGAGTTGATAAATCTGTCTGCTGTGTCCAAAGCTTGCGCCTCATCCATCCACCTTGCAGCTTCTTTAATATTTCCAGCATGCTTAAAGAGATAGAAATTCAAGTTAGATTCAGTAATTATAAAACAGCCATGTTTTATGTACTCATTGTTTAATATAACTAGTTAATTTTCAGACATTTTTTAATAGATAGCTTTTTTCAGGAAAGCAACAGATCTTTAAAGAAAAGCAGAAAAACTACTTTCCCCTCATTATGGAATCATAGATCTCTTGACACTAGACATTCTTCCTGAAAGTGCTTAAAGGACACTTTGGATAATCCCATTGTGATACAATACCATAATGTAGTTGAGAAATTGTTTTGAGTTGAAAAAAGAAGGGGTGAGAACAGGTGGAAGACATTTAAAACATCAACTAGATTTATTAGTGTAATTTTTAATATGAAAAACATAATTGTAAACTGAGAATTCACTTTTGCAGTATATTTATCCTTTATTGACTTAAAAACCTTCATGGGTCTTATTCATATGTAGTAAAAAACCTAAGCAGCCAAAGAATACCTTTATCTAGAAACTCACTAAAATTCACTATGTAATTTTCCATGGATTCTCCACGTGTCTTAACACAAGCTTAACACTTCAACGTTCATATCAAAAACATAACAGGAAAGTATAAGTGTATGTAAAAGTCTTCCACCACAACAAACTAATAACCTCTGGTCACTAGGAATAACATAAACTTACCTTATAGATTTTTGCTTTCACAAGGAAGAGTTCTATCAAAGTGGGAGTACTTTCTATAGCAGCATTTATATATTCTAGAGCCAGGGATGGCTGTCCAATTTTATCATAATGTTGAGCCAAATAATACTGGACCCAGAGTAAAGTGGTTGGAGGTTCTTCTTTACCATCATCTGGAAGGAGAAAACCAGAAGGAGTTTTTTGCTCCGTTTATTAAAACAACATGCCAGAAGCAGAGTGCTATAAATACAGGCACCGAAGTTAATCCTGTGTCTGTATCTGGTTGTCACACCAGACCTGGGAGGGCTTCCAAACAGCTGGGGCCAGGTAAGTCCATTAACTTCTAAGCCTATGGTTTGACAAGACCTGAGCATATACTGTTCCCTTCTCATACTGTGGTTTTAAGGGAAAGGAAAAGTGAGTTACTGGGTCAGACGGGAGCTACATTGTGTTCCAACTAGACCCTTAATCAGGGCAGCCAGATGTGCAAGACTCAGTGCACAGTGCAGAGTTCTTATTTAAAACTCTTTTAGATTAAGGGTATAGCAAAGAGCCCTAAGTGTTGCACAGTAACTATGTAAAGGATTTCAGTACGTTCAGCATTTACATGTTTTCAACCCCTAGACCTGAACATCTTTAAACAAAACAGTCTGGCTGTTCCAAACCCCAGCTTTAAAAAGGTTTTCTGTCTCCACCCTTGACAAATTTATCATCACTGTTGGCCTAAATGTATCCAAGAAACTCTCCTATAGAGAAGACAGTTTTGAAAGTTACAGACCTCTGCTTGAAATCCAAAATACTACTGAAGTTCACTATGAAGCATAGCACCTTGCAGGGGAAGAAAAAGGGTGTGGGGACTCTAGATCTGCCAAAAGGTTCTGGTTCTTCAGTTTACGGCATCACTTAACCAAGTGATTATATGCATTTATTCATTTTAAGGTAGCAGAAAACTGTTTACTTCAATGAAATTTACTATTAAAGCAAATATTGAATTGAACTAAAATAACAGTAAGCCATTTCCTTAAACCAGAGAAGCACAAACGTGTTCAAAAGGCTTGGACAAATCTGAACAGGTATTAAGTGGCTATATTGTAGCCTCGACCATTAAATTCAAGGGAAAAGTGTAACGGGCAACTTAGGTGAGAATTTCATAACAAAGTATTGCATTAATGTTTCTGCAAAGCAGGGAAATAACTGGTCATGACTTTAATAATAATGTCTTCGACAATATACATTAAAACTTTACAGGATAATCTTAATTATTATTCATGCTATCTTGATTCTTACACCATTATACTCCATCTACCAAAACTTCAACACTATCCTCTGTTGATATTCTACGCAGAAAAGCTTTTTCTTGGAGATTTTCTGTTATGAAGCAGTTGGGCAAACGACTAAAAAAATAATAATAATAATCACAAAGGTACCAGAGAGGAAACTCTAAAACCTGGTTTCAGTACATGTAGAACCATACCTCACAACAGAACAGTTGTCAGTCAAAACCTGGAAAACATTTTTTTAACTCTCAAATAAAACCCCCAAGAACACAAAACCCAGTCCTAACCAAAAGCTCCAAGCTCCCTCCCCCTGAAGACTGTGCTATCAGTATCTATTCCTTTTTGTTTGAAATTTATGTAATTAAAGATTTCACATCGCTTTCAGATTTCAGTTTCCTGGACAATGATGAACTCAAGTCTTGAAAATAGAATACTTGAACTCAAAACCGCAGAGACGACCAAATTTTTAGAACAAGTGACTAGATTTTTGAATGCAGACTTTATATTTGACAGCTTAAATGCATTCTAAGAATGGCTATGGTTCAGCTCTGTGTTAGGGGAAAAAACCCCCATCAGCTCAATTTCTTCACTCCCCACTGATTCCCTGCCTCTGAATGGTCATGTAATGCTCACACCAGGCACTACTTCCAAGAAGTACGACAGTCTTGGCACTCACCATTCGGGTTAAATAACCTGCAGCTTCGTAGGGAGGTTTCATAACCTATTACAAGCTCTTCTATGATTGCCACCTACACGTGCAAGACAAGACAAAAAAAAGTCAGCAGGCAAGACTGTAATTTCTTTCAACTGGAACCACCTCATGTTACTCAAACTAGTTCTTTTTGGTAAGAGAATTCTGCAATATCCTGAATTACAATACACATGGGAATGCACTCAATCTCACCTCTCCTAACAAATTAAGACCAAGCCTCCCTCAGTTAACCTTTACGCAGCTTATAGTTAGTAAATCTTAGTTTTCTCCATTTACCAACTTGACACAAGGCTATGCATGCTTGTACTTGATTTTTTTCTAGATAAATTAGGCCATAACATATGACAGTGCTGATGCAGTGAGCACTGAAGAAAAAGTTTCCTTCATCTCTTTAATGCATGTCAGCTATGAGGTAGAACATGTAAGAAGTGAGGGAAAGACCTACCTTCTCCTTGTCTTTATATAATGACCTCAAAGTATTGAAGACTGGTGGGCAACCTTTACTGAAATTCATCCTTAGAAACTTGTCCAGGCATTCCTTAAACTTTTCACCTTGAGAGGAAAAAGACCTGTTGATTTTGTTTTACCACACATTACTCATCGATTGCAGACTGTTTATGCTCTTAAAACATCAGTATCTAAGAAACACAAATGTTGATCACTACCTGCTCAGTGAAAACGCACTTACCCGACAAGAAGTTTAACGGTAATCTTCTTGGAACCAGTCCCCTTGGGTATTTAGTCCAGGCCTCTTCATAGATCTTTAGCCTTTCCATCATATTAGCTGGAACAGAATTTTGCAGGTTACTTTTTCCTTCCTTTTTGGCAAGAAGGGAAAGGGAGGGGGGGAAGTGATTTGTACCTGGCTAAAAAAAGCATCAGAATATATAGCAACTAATGGCTATATACTTCCTAAAGAACATCCATTTCCATTTAACTCTTTAAAACTGCCGTACATGATTTCAGGTATTCAGAATCTGTAAATTCCCCTTTCAGCTGTGGAACACTAGCTGCTTATCTCTCATCTTAAAAACAGTTCCTGCCTTATCACTGTGCTAAACCTTCAACAAAGAAAACCATTCAGGAGAATCCAAAACCTGTACTACCTAAAACATAAGACAACACAGACAGTAAAAGAAAAACTCTAAATTAAAACTGTCTTCTAAGAAATAAGTCTTTTTTTTCCAACCATGCACACAGATTACTGCATTTTTTTTGTTGTTTTGGTTTTAAATAAGATGGGGTTAACAACAATACGAGAATACTTCCAGCCTTTCTTAAAAACAAAGCATTATGATAATATGAACACACTATGACTAAAATAAACTTAAATGGGGACTTTTAAAATAATAGTTTTATTATTTAAAGCAATACAAGTTTTTGATACATATATAAATTCCAAATGTGCAGAAACAGCTTATTTACCACAGCACATCAAACCATTACCTGGTTTAAGTGCCTTTTCTAGGCCTTTGTAGTAGGCCCAGTTTTCAGGATTTCTTTCTTGCAGTCCTTTGTAGACTTCAACTGCTTCTTCAAGTCTGCCAAGCTGAAGCAGGAGTTCTCCTGTGTGAAATCCAAGTTTTAAATTAAAGGTAACAAGATACTGAAGCAGTGTAATATTAATTACTCCACAGTAAAAGATGAGATAATCCTTGATTCCATGTAGATTCTAATTTCTTAAAAAAAACTGATCATGGTGGCATCACAAACTAGCTGACAGATATGCTTTTACTTTGACAATAGGTGCAATTACAAGAAGATTCTACAACTCAGCCAGTAATGCTTACTTGAAAATTTAACGTTGAAAGATGCACATGGCTTTTTTTTTATTTACTGAAGTGACTGGTTATTTTAAGCGCAGTTTTTACTACAGAAGGCAATTAAGGTGACTACATGGCATTTCACGTATATAGCATCTTGAAAACCAAACTGAAATTGCAGAGCTGCAAATAAAAGAATGGTTCTTCAGTCTGGTATTTCATAATACTTCAATGTTTCAAATCAAGCCATTGATCTGATTAATGAATTCTCAAGATTCTGCAAGCAAGTTTCCTTTTAATGATATTTCATTACAAGGTACAGCTGTTAAAAGTAAAGTCTACATCCAACAACTGCATAGAGCATCTTCGCTGATGCTAGAGTTGCAACAAAAGTCAATTTCCCATTTCACAATGGGAACCCATATTTTACAAAGCTTTGCTATCGGCAATTGTCAGGCACCAAAAGATTACATGCCAGAGATGATACAGGGTCATTCTAGATTAGGGTTAAGATTTTCTCATCCTGTTTCAAGAGGAAAACGCGAGACAGCATTACCTCACTTCTTCCCTGTGTCACACAACCGACAAGTAATTTTGTCAAGAGATGCTGCTTCCCACAGATTGGGTAACTTGAGAACTACATGCAGTATCTAATGCCAGGGAAAACCTCAATAGTTCACTCACTGAGAATGACAGATCCGGAAAATAAATCTAATTCTTTCTCCAAGGTAAAAGTTGTAATTTTTATCTAATGCTGGCAAATACCAATACTATTTTCAGTGCTTCTGGGTTGTACTTCACTCACCACGGCTTCTGCACGTGCACTTAACATTCGCAGACACTCATTCATTAGCAGGCTTTTCTGCTAATCACAGCAGCTAAACTAGACCTAAAAATCCAACAGGAGCTCTGCCCAAAAAAATGAATCAGCTGTACCCTGTTGAAAGAGCACAGACTGCAAAGAGTATTTTCATACTTTTTTCTGGTAACTTACTAGAAGGTTTTGTGGTTTTGTTTAGTTTTGGGTTTTTTTGCAAAGTCGTATTTGAAAATCCTATTTCAGTACCAGACTCGTATCTTCATCAAAAACTTAAGAACATAGAGTATGGCAAATAATCTTTCAGATGTTCAGATAAAAACCACACCCGCTCCCAAAACCCAAAACTCCCATTTCTGCATCTGAAAAATGGTTTGTGACAGTGTAATCTTTATGTCCATTTCCATTTGTACGCAAACCATATAACATATTCAGCAACTGTGGAGTCACCTGCAATCATTTTCCTTGAGGAAATACCACACACCTTCCATAATACTGTCACTACTCAATTCCAAGGTTCTTTTTGCAAGACAGTGAGTTTACTGTTAGCAAGAGTAGGGAGCTAGCTACATCTACATGAATAATATTACAGAGTAAAAAGACTTCTCTTTGCTTCAAGCAATCTTCCAAATACATTCCAGTGTGGGTCATGAACAAACAGCACCTTCAATAGATAGAAAGTTTGGCAGAAGGACTGTACAAGCATCAAGCAGAAGAGAAACAAAGCATGCTTTGGAAAAGCACACCTGTTAATAGAGCTGTAAGAATGAAGTGCTATCACTCTGCAATTCCAGCTGTGGAATCTAAGATATAGTATTATATTGCTCTGTTATAATATTAAACACTAGGATTACAGTAACCCAATAACAGAATCCTACTCTGGGTTGCCCAGCTCAAGAGCCTATTTCCATACACTGCAAGAGGGACCAAGTATAACTAAAAGCTTTCTAAAAAGCCCAAGACGATTCTGCTCTTTCAGCAAGTGGTCTCCCTGCCAGGACCAGTATCACAGCTGTGACAGACCCATGGGTTTGGGTACACTACCCAAACAGAACTTCAGGACATCAATTCAGGATCACTTGCCTGAAATGCTCATCAGCTCTCAAGTTTCAGAACAGTACGTCTGTACTCTACTGATGCCTTATCAGCCTGGGAGAAGAGCATGACAGGAACCAAACAGCTGCAAGACAAGCAGTCCTCTACCACAGCAGAATTAAATAAATTAATCTAAAACCAAATCAAAGATGAAATTCCAAAAGATGGGAAGAGTTGACAGTACAGGCATTCCATACTATACTATGTGTTTAAATGTATCTTCAAAAGGTAATTACCTTTAGTTTCTTCGACAGCCAGTTTATCACAGATCTGCTTTTCATAGGTACAAAGATGCTCCAAGGCTTCTTTATACAGTCCTGCTTCCCGGAGGACTTGATTTTGATACAACAGCAGTTCGCTGTACTCATAGTCCACTTTATCAGGTGATGTCTACACAGGAAAGCAAGACACACAAGAAAGTTCAGCCTTCTAGAATGCATTTGGGATTTAATTCCTTTGCCTAAAGAAACTGCATAAAGCTTTCACATCACGAAAGGAAGCAGTGTTTTATTCTCGGCTTAAGCAGCAATCTATACATAAATTTCATGTTTTCCTCTTACCTGCTGTGTCTTCCTAAATTCCTCTAAAATTTTTGCTGCCATTTCATAGTCTTCCAGCAGATGGTAAGCAATAGCATAACCAATCCATGATGCTCGCTGTGCAGGTCGGAGCTGAAGCAACTGGTATCTTGTTTCCTGCAAAAAAGTAGCTGCTAATTTTCCTGACTTTATTCCGATGCTCTGTAGAAGCCATTAGACAATATTTGGTCTTCAGTATTCTAAAGAATTTCACTAAAAATTAGTTTTCTATACGCAAATGTTTTTGTTTTTTGAACCAAAGGAAAGGATTAACTTTTAACCGCTAGGATGGTCTTGACTGAATTAAAAAAACCCAAACAAACAACAAAACACAAAGTAACACATCATGTCCAACTGAATACTGATGAGTCAGACTAACTTTGTTAATGTATGACACACGTGCTTTTCCTGTCTTACCACTTATGAACAGAATGCAATTAAGGATACTTTGGTTTGAGTCACAGGAACATTTACTAAATACTGGTTTTTCAAATCCACCTTGGAAGTACATATCTATTAAATCATCACAAGTGTTGTTAGGCAAAATAGGTCATGCAAGTGCATCCCTATTCTTTGGCAAGAAGATAATTACAGCTGGAAGATGCAACAGATTTGCTCGGTATCATGCTGTTTTAATCTGAGGGAAAAGTCATTACTTGTTTTATTACAGACTCCTGAAAGGCATCTTCAAGTAATTTAAAACAGAGGAAAAAAGTTACCACCTACTAAAAAAGCCCAAACAGCCAGAAGTAGGGGTTAACAAAGAACTAAAGCTAGTTACATCACTTTGACTAGAATGAAGATCACTCAAAGTATTATAAAGTACGAGAGGGTGGAAGTTAAAACAAACAAACAAAAACCCACCAAAAAACCAACCCACAACGTTATTCCTGGTTTTGAGAGTAAATTCACATTCTTTGGAAACTAGCATATGATCATGAATTACTGGCTTCTAAGCATGTTCACATTTAATCCTTAATGCGTTCTATAACCTTGTGTTCCTTGTATGTTTAGCAATTATGCATTTGTATTCACATTTATCCAGAGGCCAAGAGAACATATATTTGCAAATGAATTTTGCCACCTATGCTAAATTTTGGCTATGTTGCCTCAGCAAGAGAGGAGTCAAATTTCTAAATTACTAATATGAAAAAGACAGTGATTAAGAAATGTCCTAACTTGGGCATAAGTTCACTGAGGACCTATGTTAGATGATGGTTTCCACACTGCTCTGAGAACAAAACCTGTTCTTGGCATACTAACATCATCCTAATTTGAAACAGAAATTATCTATGAAGAGACCAACTAATGTGTTTTAACAACCACAACTTTAAAGGTGCAAGAAAAACCTGAAACAATGAAAACCTGACATAAAACATTATCCAAGGTCTCGCAGTTAAAGTCTCAAAGATTCTGTCCCCCCCTCAGAGAAAAGGAATACCTTATTACACCAATATAAAACAGCTAAAAAACAGACGAGTTTCTAGGCACACAAAAAAAATTAATTTAGGAGGAACTAAGGTGGTTTTTTTCCAATTAATGTTTAAATTATAAATACTTAGGGTGACTATTGTCATCTTTCCCTGGATGGCACACTAAGAAACAAACAAATCTTCTATAGTCATTGCTCTGTCTAATCCTAAGTGAGCCATATATTGGCCATGGGCAGCAACTACGACTTAGCGTGAACCACGTAAACATCTCTGCAATACGCATACTAAACAGAAGCTGCCACTTTTGAAGAAATAAAGGTATCGGCAAGCTAGACATGAGCTCGCAATTCAAGACGACAAAGGAAAAAAAAAAGGTAACTACATTAGGAGTAGAGTTCGTAGAGAAGACAATAGAAAGTTTCTATTCTTCTTTACAGAAGTATCACAGAATCTTACGGCTCACAGGAAACGTCTGGACCCAAAGAAGCTGCCACTAATACCCAGGTTGGCTGGGAAGCAAAATACAACACTTTATGCAGCATACTGCTTGCTTTGTATTGTTACCCACTGCCAAGAGAAAACTGGTGGCCACCAATTTAAATGAGGAGAGACATACGGCAAAGAGTTATTAAAAAAATAGAAAGTCCTTTGCCTGAATAACAGCAATCTTCTGAACACATTGCCTCTTCCCTGAAGCAATCCTTCCAAGAAAATAACAGAAAGACCAGGAATTGTCTACAGCTGGATTATACAGTATTAAAAAAAAGAAAGGCAAACAATTCCACGCTGAGCTGAAAAAGAATCATTTAATATGCCATTAAATCTGTATACTTTATAGAAACTGCTCAGTAGCTTTTACTTTCATAAAAAGCTTTTACTTGCATAAAGTACCAAGTAACCCATAGTTTTGACACTCTGGGTCTAATAAAGTATCACTAAACAATGTGCCACCTTTGCTGCAGCTCCCTAGAAGCTGATAATCAATGCAGTATGTATACCTACCCTGTAACCTTCAAGATCCCTCATTTGAATCTGTAGCAGAGAAAGATCTCTCAAGATTTGAAGATTGTCTTTGTCCCATTTCAGTGCATTTCTATAGCATTTGATAGCTTCGTCATACTTTTTGTCTGACCTCTGAAGAAGGCCATAGACATGCCAACCTGTAAAACTCTGTTAAGGATTCTATTGAATTTGAACAGGGAGAAAACAGACTCAACATGGCAGTGACAGAACAGTTGGTAAAAAGCTTTTAAGCCATTTTATAAATGGACAGTACCATTACTACAATCATTACAATACTTTTCCTCATCTGTACAAAGAAACTGCTTGCAAACTGAAGACAGAGAACTGTTCGCCATTTATATGTACAGGGTGCATATAATATGCTGTAAACTGTACTTTTCGCATCGAGGGGGAGGAAATAAAAGTAATAGGATCTCTGAAAAGACTACCAGGCTTACTCAAATGCATTTTTGAGCAAGGGCTTATATTAGACAACTGTTATTCTTGCACTTCTTGCATTCTACATGTATGACAAGTCCTTATCAATGTAATGGCAACTACCAGTGTTTTTAAAGCAAATCACACGCTTAAATGCCTAGTTCAGCCCACAAGTTTAGAGTTGCAGCTCAATGATACAGGAAAAAAATATACAAAGCAAGCCAGAATAATATTTGAGCTAACTGTGATGCAAGGACAGCTGCAAAGCATCTGCTGTTTGGATAGCTTAGACAAAATATTATGTATTGGAAACAAAATTTAAAATTCTGAACTTCCAGTTTGAAGCCTAATGGTACTGGCTTTTGTTGCTATTCTATAAATCAAGTAGTTGTAGAAATAAACCTTCTCCATTCCTAGGCAAAAGCCCTATTTCAAAAAGGATACAGACATGACTCTTCAAGTCATTCCTTAGGCCTCTACGCACAAGTTCATAAGCTTCCTCTTTCTTCCCTAGACAGTTTAATGTTAGTCCTTTCATTGCCAAAGTTTCTAATTAAAAAAAAAAAAAAAGATTAAATAAGTATCAGATATTCATTTTCACAGGCTTTTAGGCTCAATATAGCAACTCTAAATATAGTATAAATGCAAATGTAGACTCTGTTATCAGCATGCCAAACTAGCTGGCAAAGAAAAAAACATTTCTGGACAGTGGAAAGAAACTCTCAAGTCAGTATTAAAAATTGAACGAAAATACAGCAAGGAACAAACACCTTTTATTTCTTTTACAATAAGACTATTCCTTCATAAAAAGTAGCAGACCACAGAGCTGACAGATATACAGTGCTGAACAATATTCAATCTTTTCCTTTTGTCTTTCACTTATTTAGAAGTGAATAACAATTTCCCTTGAAAAGCGATTTAAGCAATACATACTTGTATTAAGAAACTCGCACCATGCTATGACAAATATTAGACTTGCAGCATAAAGAATGGCAAGCTATGACTACTGACTACTGGCAAGACCAGTGTTTAAAATTACAAATCTTACCAACAGTAAGTGCTTAACGTGGTGCAGGTTTCTGGATGCTCTTACTGCTTTATGGGCAAAAGGTTATCAATAAAGTGCTATGAATATAAAACAAATTATTGCTCTGTCCTAAAGTATAGGGAAGAAAAGACAGTACATGCCATTTGAAAACTTACCTCCATGTTCTGCAAACTTTGGGTTAGAAAGGATCTGTTTACAGAACTTCAGCCCATTTCTATACTGCTTATGTTCGTAACACCTCTGTGGAAGAAGAACAGAGTATAGTTATTCAAAAAATTTGGAGTGAAAATATTTCTTCACCCATGAAGTTAATCATCAGTGCAGCTAGGGATTTTAGAAAATGTACTAATATTTTAATTAACCCTGTTTAATGAGCTTCCTGTGATTAAGAATTCTTTCCATCACCAGAAAAACAGTATACGTTAAAAAGAAAATAGATTTAAATTTATAACCGAAGACACGTTATCACATAGCAATTTCTCAGATAAGATCACATAGAAAGCACAAGTGCCTACAGAGATTCAACTTTCCTTTAACGAAAAAGGAAACCTTATGTCATAACTTATCTTGGTAAGCATTCGACTCACTTTGGCTCAATTATCTTTCATAGAAACACCACAAGAAAACCTCCAACCACCATACAGGCAGGAAAGAAAATCAAATCATTGGAACTTGGCTTAAACAATGGCTGAAAGCAACCTCTTATGATCAATTTGAATACCACATATATCTCGTATACATCCAAACTTTCAAACCTGGTATACACTAACATTATCTTGCCACACTAAAAATTAAAACATTCCTTTACAGTTTTATTAAATCCAACTCTAACTCATTTCATTATGCAAGGCGACTACAATGCAAAACAGCACAGAGCATGAACTTCTAAAACTAGTTTTAGTATTTCACTTCTGTCAATCCACTCCCTGTGCTAATCTTTAAATAGAAGCCAAGGGAGGAAGAAGTAATATTGTAAACACCAATTCATACACTTTAAGTCACTTAAGCAAATGCTAGGAATTTCTTAGGTTTCATTCATTTTACTGTAATACCAATGCCCTGGACTTGAGTATATGAGTAAAGAAACACACGTTCCTTGATCACAGACCCAAATCCTATGCTAACTAGGACGTCATTCACAACAGTATCTCACTGACTCTAGTTGACCAGTTCTGGTGGCTGGATGGCCAACAGGAGTGTACAACTGGGTACAGCCAACAGTTTTCAAGTCCCCCTAAATAAGTTGTTGCTCAGGATTCCACCTTTCCTCATGCTGCTCCAAATTAAATATGCAAGAGCATTCATGAGCATGTATGGACACCATTTGTCCTCTAAGAACTCCCATTAAAAAAAGTTAGGAGAGGCAGACTCAATGGGTCTGCCCATCAAGCAGAACGTTCCAAAAATAAAACTTTCAAAAATCACACGAATGTTATGGAAACACTTAAAAAAGAAAATAGCATATCTTCCTCCACTTCTCTGCTTTATGTTGCTTTTGCATCATGAAAGGTACTATTTAGCGTCCAGTTTTCTCTTCCAAAGCACAGATGGAAACACCAACAATAAACTTCAAAGGTCTAAGAAACTGGTACACCATTAAGTGGATGTATTATTTTCTAGGTACTGAAGTCATACAGCTGAAATATCAAGGCTGAAGACCAAGAGGCATCACAAACCAAGGATCTTGCTATCCTGTCGCCTCCCTTTGGAGAGAGGGAATCATAGGAAAAGAAAGAGGAGGAACAAGAGAAGGAAGATGCTCAGAGAGAGCATCCAAAGCAAGATGGACTCAAAGAGGAACGTATCAACAAAAGAATGATAGAATGGTTTGGATTGGAAGATACCTTCAAAGATCATCTAGTCCCATATCCCTGCTGTGGGCAGGGAGATCTTTTACTACAACAGGTTGCTCAAAGCCCTGTCCAACCCTGACTTTGAACATTTCTGAAAGACAAACCCCTTAATCACCAAGGACAGGAAAAGTTAGCAGGGTAACCACCTAGCAAAAAAAGATTAAGGGTTAGGTGAGAGGAAATCTGTAGAGGTGTCTTTTTTTATTATTAAACTTGACTGGTTATTATTTACACTCTTCAGTCATAACCTGCTTTCAAGTAGCTGGCTGAGTCACTTTAATCAGCCACTGGTCAAAGCTGACAGAGAGCTTACAGGTGACAACACAACAGGATCAAGCCTTTGTTTTTTTTTTAATTGAAATCATCAGTCATAAAAGTTACCACCCAGGCCTCCTCCCTGAAAGCAGAACCACCATTTGCTCCCACCTAGGTAGGTATGAAAGCAGCAAAACCTGTCACAAAAGTGGTGTAACCACAGGAACTTAAGAATGTGTCTCCAGTGGCACTGTCACAAGCAGAAGGGGTACTTTGGGGTTTCACAATTTGCCTTTAAGTACAGCTGCTCACATGCTGGCTTTGAACATGAAATCTTATCTCTAAATAGTTCCATTTTACATACTCTTTAACAACAAGTCTTTCACCTTGAAGTTTAAGGAAAGTCAGCCAAGATGGTATATATGCTAGACACAGGAAATACTTGCATTTAGATTTTTCTCAGAGTAATAAAGAACCTAAGATGCAATGTATTTAATAATAGAGTAAACTCACTGAGAATTGTAACAGTCTCCCTTTAGGCTGCAGGGAGGAAAAATTTGAGTCTATACCCACTTGCATCTATGGAAAGGTTCCCATCAACCCAGGGAACACTGGACAGGACAAATAAATTGTCAGGAACTGATCATGTACTTGTATCACCTGAAGTACCAAATGAAGAACTAGCCATAGCTGTGTACATCCCCCAGCGAAGTACCACAGTCCTCTGTTTTCAGGCGTTTCTAGATCAAGACAAGTCGGAACGATTTCCTGTATACAATCGCTCCAACCTTTCAGGTTAATACTTCGAGCCTATTTAATTCTGTAAATGGGAACATTTCAAATTGTGTCATTTTATGAGTCTCCTTAGTCTATGTATGTATTCTGTGTACATATTGTATGTTTTGACAGTGGAAGGAAGAGAATAAACAAAATTGAGGACATGTTTCATCCTTCTTCAGAAAAGAAGAGGAGATAGTTTAACCGAAGCGGGCCCAACAGCATCACTGAGATTCCACTACTTGAAGCCATGTCTCCTTCTCCAAAGAGGTTATGGAGATATTAAGTAGGATATGGAGGTATTAAGAAGCTTAAATAAAGGTGTGAATGAAAGAGAAGGTAGCCAGGAATGGAGCATATGCCACCACGGCTGGTACAAACCTTGGTGAATCTGTGGCTTCAAGGAACAGAAACATGAAAGAAAAATCTTTTAAGAAAAAGGAGACCATAAATATTGAAAAGGGGAAAGGAAGAACAAAAAGAATAACATAAGAAAAGATGAGTGTAATACACAGCCTGGGAAAGAAAATCCTCAAGGGAGTCAGTAGTTTCTGACTAAGAGGAGAAAAAAGAACAAGTAATAAAAATAATAAAATAAAAAAACAAACAAGGAAGCAGTAATGGTGATATATTGAGTATTCTTGGGACATAAAGATACAGGAGTGCTGGAAGCAGAAATGGTCTTCATCTGGGTAGTTTGTTTCCTCCCAGATGAATAGCTTGTAGTAGTCATTCCCAGGCCTCCGACCCTTATTTTGGGACAGCTGTTCTGCAGAAGTAACACATTTCTCTGTTCCAGAGATGGATAAAAAGCACAGCTGCCTCCTCTAACATCCTGCACATGTACACTTCCAAAGCCAGCGGTCATAGCCTGCTTGTGATGCTTGACAGACAAGTGCTCCAGTTACAGCTTGTGACACCATGCAATGAGAAAATGTAAATGCTAAACTTCTAAAAAGTAAAGGCTAAAGCTTTAGAAGAAAAGAATGTGACTCCATCAGCACTGAATATGTACTACACATTTGCTGCCCTTCAAAGCTTTTCCTTTAATAAGTTACCAGATCTTTTAAGATCTCTAACAAGCTTTTCTCTACATGCTATGACCAGAATTACAGACAACTCCAAACACAGCAAGATTCTTTTTATATCCTTTATCTCATTTTCTATATTTATAGCAAGGAAATAGCACCTGCTTTAATACAATTCTACAAAGAATTAATCAAATGTGGCGGACAGAGTATGACCCCTTCAAAATCATGCAAGGCCACAGCAGATAGGAGAGGATTTGCATTTGCACCGCTCTCCCACCACCAAGTATTTATTCAATGGATTCGAATACATGACGATTACTAGACAGAGACTGACAGTGAAATTATAAGTAACAGAGCAGCCCATATTCTCTAGAATCCCAAGTCTGAGGTGGAAAAAGGGCTCACCTTCTGGTGTTCGGATCCCTAAGCTGTATTAGGGCATCTGTGCAGAACCAGCCTTTGGCCTGCAGGTGTCTTACACTTAGACATGGCTCAGCATGCCAAGTGCGAATGAACTCCTTCACATTTCTTCCTTGACGGCTGCCATGAAGAAAGGTGAAAAGACTTCACTATTTACAGCTTACCTACCTCTACACGGCTAACTGCTAGATGAAGTTTGTTACCACCCTTGCCAGTTTTCAGTCTTCTCTTTCTAGTGCATCTACTTTCTAAACCCTGTTATAAAACCTACAGCTAGTGAATAAGACTGACTCGGATTCTTAAGCAACTACTCTGGTTACTCACAAGGTTATATACAAAGGCCATGCTACTCATTAGAGTTGCATACCTAAGGACTGCTGACAATATCACAGAGATGACTTTTATTCAAACTTTATTCAGCATTGCTTGTGTTATATATTTATAAACAAACACATTTTCACAAGCACAGTTTAGAAATTTTACAGCTGTAAGTTTGAAATGTACAGAAGTAGGTTCTGTTTGCTACCTGTAAGCAGGCAGCACATTCCACCTCTGACTTATTCCTTCCCTCTCAATAACAGACATTTTAATGGTCAAGTACATGTGTTTCCAACTAAAAAGCAAGGACAATAGTCAAGTGCAACATTTTGACATGCAGGTATGTATCTCAAAATCAAGTACACAGCACATGGCAGACCAGATCTTGCCATTGTGCATGAAATATTTCGCATGTATTCACTTCCAGAAATGCAAAACCCCTTTATCACAAAGCAGTCTTCATGTCCTGAAGTGAACAATTTAATAGCCATCCCAACTTAAATTTGCTTTTTCTAAGACATTTTATAATTACTACACCGCAGACTGAAGTGTCCTGTACGGTCAGTAACATAAACAGTTAGCAACA